TGCAGCGACCAGTCGTTGATGTCGACGCAGCGTACTTTCTTAAATTTAAGGACGGTGTGCAGACATAGCAGAAGTTCAAAATTAGCCCGCCACAAACTGTTGATCTCTGTGAGTGGGAACGGCGGTATAACCAGTGGGGCGAAGGAAACTCGCTTGGTGGATTCGGCGGGCCTCTGGACGAGGGGGAGGGGATGGTAGGTGGTGGAGGGGTGGGGGGGCAAGATGTTGGTTGGCATCAATCAGGAGGCAGAAGTCTAGTTCAAGACTTCAACTCCGCCAGGATCCGAACTTCACTTGACGACATGCGAACTAGCGGCCCGACTCGTCGTGCAACCATTGCATCCCCGATAGAACGAGAAAGGTCGCCAGATCCGTACTTCGCCGCCCCGTGGGCCACGTCGGGAATCAACAGTACTGAACGACTCGGGGGAAGGTGTACGTTGCAAGGACACCGTATCGAAGTCCATCGGGATCCGCACTTTAATGAGAGGCTGTTTTTCATCTGCGGTTTCTGTTGAGCATGGCAGAACATCTTCGAACAATGATGAGGTGCAGGTTGCGGCATTTTGAGCAAGTACCCGCAAGTGTAGAGCCTGGGGACCTCAAAATGTCGAAGTCCGTCGGAATCCGAACTTCATCTGAGGGCGGTCTTCGCCCGGGGATTACTCTAACTTCGGCATAATAAATGACCATAGAAGCAGAAGAGCGGTCAACGACGTTTGATACGACATGGGGGGAAGGGGATAAAGGGGAGCAAGCGAAAAAAAGCATGGAGGGTTCTGATTTTCAGGGGACTGAAGAGGATGTCCGCTCTAGGGAGTCGTCTGACGATTTCGGGCAGTTATACGGACAACATCAGGGGCATGCAGTCCACGACGATACCATGGCGATGGAGATGGGGACACAAGTGATTCATAACCTCTCCGCAACGCATACAAACTACGAAGTTCAACCACTTCTGCTTGTTTCTGAACTTCAACACAGGTCCCTCGAGGGTTCTGTTTCTGTGAGCCCGCCTAATCCGAGTCGCCGTGTGAATATCGACGAAGATATTGATATCATCCTCGGTGGCCAGTTGGAGTCGACACAACTGTCTGTTGCATCGGACATTGAGGCCCGCGGGGAGGTCAAAATATTTGAGTTTGCGGCCACTTTGTCAGAACCAACATCTCCTCTATTGACACAGATCGACGCCATTGGTAGTGAGCGTGAAGTCGGGGAGGGACAATACGTCACATCTCCAAAACGGTTTAGGGTCGGCACTCCAGCTAAAGCGGTGTTGGGCTTGTTGGCCTTGGTCGCGCTGACTATAACTATGACGAAGCGCAGGGATCGTTCGGTTGGTAAGTGGTGAACAACGTCACTCTTCTCTATACACCCATGTTGTGGACATGAGAGGAATTCGTCGGGAACTCAAGAACGTCTACTAACGAAGTTCGAATTCCAGCGAACTTTCATCTGCGTTATTAGCCAATTCAGTTGTCACAGTGCACTCTGAAATAGGGAGTGGTTGTTTAAACCACCAACAATTCCAATAGGAAATCACTTTTCCTATTAGTCGGCCTAGTTTATAGAAGGGGGTTGTGACCGCCGACGCTGCCGTGAATAAAGTGAGAAATAAAATATAACGAAACATCATTATCGAAAGGATCTTTCCTTGATGTTTCATTTTTTTTTATTTTTTTTTCTTTACATCGCTATTCGCGAACCCTTCCCAAACCATGGCCGACTGACAAGACGGGCGATTTCCTCCAGGTGAAAGTGCTCAGGTCACACTGTGAGTGGTTGGCGTGGATGAAAGTCCGCCAGAATCCGGACTTTGGGGGCGACCGACCGTCTGCCTTCTAAAGTTGTTTGTAGTTATCTTATGTTTATGGCTTGAGGTCAAGCTTTACATGCGCTGTTCGCTCTGTTCTTCGCCCACACACATGTGTCGAGATGGTTGGTGCGATAAAGAGTCAGTACACAGTGTTTGTAGAGGTTTTGGTTTTACAGGCTATGCCCTCAATCCGAATTGGGAGACATGTATTCATTTCTTGTTTTTTCTTCTGTTTTACAGGAAGAGGGTCATCTCGCAAAATGAGGTTCTCGAGATATCGGATGCATATGTTGCAGAAAATCCCCACGTCGACAAGAATAAATAAGGAAATGTTAAAGGCATTAGCGGTCAATGTCGAAACCGGAGAGAGTGAGCATGCTATACTTATTAAGCATTATCTTTGCCTTCTACCCCTGGACAAGGAGACATATCGACGATCTATAACTAAGGGTTAGACCTGCGTAGCATGCTGTTCGCGTTCGACCGCCGAACACGAACGTTCGCGACCAAACGCGAACATATTTATATATATATATATATCCGTATTTATACATATATACATATATATATATAGATATAGATATAGATATATATAGGGGTCTGCCGGGGGTGGGGGGGGTTAGGGTGGGGG